ATTTAAAAAAATCTGTAGTACGAGTCGAAAAAAGATATCGCCCGTTGGCAGTCGTATTTACCCGCTAGTTTCAGCCGATGTTTTGATTTTGCAGGATTGGCGTCGGTAGAAGTGAAGAATTTGTGGTTTCGTGAGACCGAAACCTTCCCCCAGGAAGGCGGCCTCATCAAGGCCGCCAAGTCGAACATCCCTGTGCCGCCGTCCTTGCTTAGACTAGTATATGAGCCCGGCCTGGACGACGCGGCCAATCTGACCTCATATCTTCACTGGCATGCGAGCACGCTGCAGGTAAGGGAACGAAGTAATTCGGCAAATGCCTCCATTTTCTTTCACTGTAGCAAACAGGTACGGAAAATTCTGTTAATTTTTTTGCCAGGATCCTCCGTAGCCCTCTTATCAATATTCTCCGTAGGCTCTTACAGTATTCTCCGTAGCGCCGTACAGTTTTCTCCGTAGGACCGCACAGTCTTCTCCGTAGGGTCTAGAAGACTGTATAGCCTTACGGAGAACACTGTGCGGTCCTACGGAAAATACTGTAAGAACCTACGGAAAATACTGTAAGAACCTACGGAAAATACTGACAAGGGGCCTACGGAGAATTACCACAACCTGTTTCCAGAATTTTTCGTAGCTTTTAGCCGCAGCTGTACACTCAAAAAAGTGACATCTTAGATTTAAAAAAAAATGTAACCTTTCTTGATTTTTGCAAGACAATTTTTCTTTATCTAATGTTTTTTTTTCTTGAATGAAGAAAATTTTTCTTGTGTCAAGATTTTTTTCTTGCAAAAGCGAAGTAAATCAAAAATCAAGAAACTATTTTTTAGGGTGTAGTAATGAAGCAAATGCCCCGTAGACCTTAATGTAGAGTGCGGTCCAAAGACCGCCCCGGAAAAATCTGGAAAAAATTCTGAGCTTGCATTCTCAGACCTATTCAGCACCAGATGGTTGAACAAAATACCGCCTTATAGGATCAACAACGTTTATTTTGCTTTGGTTCATGATGAACTCGAATGTTTGCACCATGTCTCAGGATGAGCGTGATAAGCTTACACTGTTAAGAATAGTTCTGCAGAAACAAGCAAATGAGTAAAAGTTTCGTGCACTAGTGATGCTGAGAGGACACAGACCACATGTGACCTCGTATAAACGACCTGCGTTTGGTGGTGCGGTCTAAGTCGTTGTCCGCACCATGCGTATGCGTTTTGGGTTTCCTGCTCCCTTGAGCTTGTAGAGTGACGGTCCCTTTGTCTCTTTCCCTCAGGTGGTGCATTTCAGTAGCGAGCACCCCCATGCGGCTGTGACGCCTTTCCTCTGCTCCCTGCCCCATCTGCGAGAACTGCAGTGCGCTTTTTTGGAGAACATGCCGGCGCTTCTGCAGTGCTCTGAACTCAAGTCTCTGCATCTGTTCGTGAACGTGGACGACTCGACGAGACCGCTTTTGCCTGGAGTGGAGCAGTACATCCGCACGGCAGTCACCCGCCTGCAGACCCTGACGCTGGAGTACCCAAACCCTGTAAACTCAGACCCCGTCTGCGTGGGCGCCGTGAACCTGCTGCTGAACCTAGCGGGCCCCAGTAAGAGTGCCGCACCGGCGCTGGTCAATCTCACACTAAAGTATACTTACGGTGACCTTGATGTTTTCGCACCACAACCGCAGCTGCCGCCTCTGGCTGCCGTCCTCCACCGCCTCAAGCACCTCGTCACTCTGGACCTGAACGGACCGCCCACGCCCAGCTTCTTCGCCGCCATGGATGGCGAAGTGTTGCCCAGCCTGAAACGGTTGTCGTTTCGGGCTGACGACCCCGATTGGGGCTGGGGTTGCCCGCACGAGTGGTGCCACGGCGAGGAGCCCCGAGCCATCCTGCGCAGGTATCCGCAGCTCCACCTGGTCGTGTGTCCGGGCCACGACATGGCGGACCCTTTCTGTGACGAGCATTATTGTCACGAGTTTGAATCCTTATATATTTACATCCTGTTCAGCCACGCAGTTCGCGAGCATTGCGACCAGGACCACAGTTTAGGTGATTTCTCCAGTAAAGAAGATGATCAGAAAGCAGTAGATTTCCACATAGTTTTGTAGACTAAATTAAATCTGAATTCATGTAAACGGTCAGACTTGATTTCAATTAGTATTCGTTATGTTATCTTGTGTTATTCATGTGCCAGGAATGTGTATACAAAGGAGCGCAGTTCTATGCATTGTATTTTTGAATCCTTTGTTCCTTTATTTTGTGGAATTAATAAATTTGTTCCCAAGCCACTGCTGAATATATTGTCTCTTATCACTTCTTCCCGAAATCAGCAGGATTTGTTTGTCACTTCAAAGCAGATGCCAAATTGAGGGATAAGTTACCTTAGCTTTTTTAATTCAAGGAAAAGCTGCGATTTTGTCTATTTTTTGTTTAATAGATTAAATTAACCGAAAGTGCACGGTATAAACACACTGCAAATCCAAGTGTAGGACAGGTCGACACTTTAAAGCGTAGACCAGTTTGTCCTACGCTTGCAAGTGTCGACCAGTTGTGTCCGACGCTTCGAAGTGTCGACCACACTGTGTCCGACGCCTGCATGTGTAGGACACTGTTTGTCCTACGGCAAATTACACTGAGTTTCCCATTGTGACCCCACACTTCAGCCGTCGGACATTCTGTGGTCGACACTTGCAGGTGTCGGACAGCGTGTGGTCGACACTTCAAAGCGTCGGACACTACTGGTCGACACTTGCAAGCGTAGGTCAAACTGGTCTACGCTTTAAAGTGTCGACCTGTCCCACACTTGGATTTGCAGTGCAATGCCTCTTGCAAAGAAACGGGTCAGCCCGAAATTTAATGTGGGTATTGCGTGAACGTGCATGCGCCTCGCTCAAAAGTATTAGTTGCTTCAAGCCGTTTTGAGATCGATCTTAATGGATTGAAACCTCCTCACCCGAGCAAAAGACTGTATAAATATTTCTTAGGGGTAGAACGAAACGACCTGGCACTCTCATCCCAGGAACGTGACATCACGTTAACACGAAAGTGACAAATTGTGACGTCCCTAAACTTTGAGCTATGTGTCATGTTCGCTTGAATGTGAACATACTAGTTTCTGGCAGATTCACCTCCAAAAGAATGTGACACAATGCTCAAAGGAACGTGACATTTTGTCCCATTTGTTTCAACGAGACGACACGTGCCTGGTGAGTGTGTCGTGGACCCCTACTTCCAGCACAAAATGGCGAGCGTCGCCCGTTCTACCGTACTAGCAAACCGTTTGTCCATTGGTAAATTTACACAGAGTGCATGATACACTGTCACAAAAAAAAATACCTTTTACGAAATACTTGGGAAAGACATTTTTTGTAGAATAACCAGTTTATCCTCATGTTTCTCAGGAAAGTTTCTTAAACATACAACCTGCTTCCCAAACTTATGAGTTTCTTCGTGAACCTGGTAAGTTATGAAGTAAACTGTGGGACTATTTCGTCACTTCAAGACAAAAAAAAAAAAAAACAACACAAGAAATATTTTGTAATGAACGTCTTTCGAAAGTTAAGTTACGGTGAAATCGCTGGAAGCGTTTAATAATGAAACGTTTGTGAAGCACTACAAAGTAAATCATCACTAATTTTTTTCTGAGATAACTGCATACTATTTAAAAATAAGAAACCTACGACAAAAACATGTTAACTTGATGTGTACCAAAATAATATGCGATGAATCGCGTCGTACCTTGTGCCGCTTGTGCTTCACAAACGTTTTCTTGAGAAAACTTTCCTGCGAATTCGTCGTAATATTACAATTGACTTCGTGAGACATTGATTGCAATCTGTTTCGTGTCGGCTTCTGCCTTGAAATGACGAGGTAATCCGCTGATTTACCACAAAATTTCATTGGTTCTAGACACACTTTGTAAGTTTCCGAAGCAGCTCATAACATTAGGAATTGTTCCTTCTTTTAACGAAGAGAACTTTGTGAATTCACGAAATGTTTCCACCCTAAATATTTCGTAAATGAAAAAAAACGTAAGACACAGTAAACTTCTTACGGATACATCCTATCTGTATTACGGACATTTTTGTGCAATTGCAATTACGGATAGATTTTGCTTGTAATACGGATGAAATCATCCGTATTACAAAGAGTTTTACGTCCGTAACATACAGACGAAAATATCCGTATGGTACGGGCGTAAAACTCTTTGTAATACGGATGATTTCATCCGTATTACAAGCAAAATCTATCCGTAATTGCAATTGCACAAAAATGTCCGTAATACAGATAGGATGTATCCGTAAGAAGTTTAGTGTGTACTAATGTATTACTAATACTTTGGTAATAGGACCTGTCCCATTCAATATCGATTGAAGTGGCAAGAGGGATTTGAAAGCCACTCCTGGGAGGGGGATTCTTTGTAATTGAGATTGGCCGTGCCTCTGTCTCCGGCATGTTGGTTTAAGTCTTGTCAGGGGTTTGTTTACGTCGGCAACTATTGGGCCCTGCGCTGCAACCACGCTACTAGTAGTGCAGTTATTTATTCATTGCAGCTCTTCGGAGACAGACATTGTCACGTGGGTCATTAAACTATCGGGTGCGAAGAGGCTTCGCCAGGGAAGCGGCGCACTCGGGACAGTGGCGTGCGCAGAAATTTAGAAAGGGGGGGGTCAGGCCACGCTTTTTGCCTACTTACAGGGGGAAAGTGACGCAATTTGCCTACCTTTCAGGCGGCTGTCTAGTGGCCAAAGGGGGGGGTCATGACCCCCCTGACCCCCCCCCCCCCCTTGCGCACGCCACTGACTCGGGACGATTTCACGTATTTGCGGTGCGAAGTTCGTCAATGCACTGTGGTAAATTCTACGAAGCACGTTGACTTGTGAGTGTCCGGCACAGAAGGCAGCTCATGGCTTCCGGTCGGGGCCTTCTCAGAAACAACCGGTTGTAATTCATGCATTCTTAACGCAGTTTTTAGTTTTACCCTCATTTGCTGTTTAAACTGCTCTTGTATGTAACGTGACTCCGAAGTACTTTGTTGTTCGTAGTGCTTACATTTGCACATAATTGTGCGTGCGTTTTTAAGTGCACGAATTTTTCCGTAACTAAGCACGAACGAATTGATGCATTAGCGCCGGACCCCGGTCTCCTCCATGTACTGTTACGGAGGACACATGCCCCCTCTCCAGTTATTGCGTAACTCAAAAGAGTATTAGGAGGAAATCCAGACCGGTAGTCAAGAACAGATCGGGAAGGGGTAAGGAACGCGTGCACTTAAGGGAGGGATATCTGGTCATTGGTCACTGGTCCGAGGCAGCGTAACGTCGCGCTGAATACACCAATAGGATACATTCGTAGATCCTGCACCGGAAGCATACAGACGCCATGTTGGCGGAAGTAGATCAAAACTTGACATGGGAAAGGGACGATAGTCAAACGTATCGGCCACACTTGAACATTTACAGTCGTTTGATACTTTGATACAGTACATATGTGTTTTGCGAGCAATATTTGTGCAGCTCTGCTCTAGTTTTAGATCCGAAGAGAGCTTCGGCCAATATGGCGTCTGCTTGCTTCTGGTTCAGGATCTACGAAAGTACCCTATCATGAGTACCCTATACGTTTCGGAACGACTGTTATGATAACGCATCGTTCAACGCTAAACGGTCCCCCAATGAATCTTGAAACGGAAGAAGAAAATCAAATATACACCACTTAAAACAGCTTCCGCGCAAGCGCACCGAGTGGTGTGGAAACGTGTGCGCATGCGCTGAAGCTGTTGTAAGAGCTCACCTTTGGTCTTCTTTGCATTTTAGGATTCATTGGAGTCACGATTGTAGAAATGTGATTAGAGTACCCTTAAGGCCTAATGTGTCGATAACGCCTAGTGTAGTCAACAAAGTAGCTTCCGGTTTAAGACGCCGACGCAGGTCATTTCGTGGGTACCTATTATCCGAAGTAAAGTGACTCACACGTTGGGCTCAGCTCTACCAAGATCTGGGTAGTGAGCAGCTCTCCCGTGCCCATAATTTGAACCGCTATATCTCCTAAACGGACTGAGATACAACTCTGTGCGTGGTCTCATTCGATTCAGCGCGTCTTTTTCTACAATGTAAGGTCACTTTCACACCGAAGTTAGAGAATGTCAAACAATGCCCAAAACGTGCATTTAAAAAAAAAAAATGACAAAATTTGCATGAACCGCTACTATATCTCCTAATCGGTTTGACGTAAAAATCTGCGCTTGGTCTCATTCGATTCATCGCGCCATTTTTTGCTATATAAGATCATCAGAAGTTTTTGTCCACATATTTTTCCCAGGAACCCCTGGAAGAAACTCTATTTTTTAAAGGTGTTTTTAGGGTGTTTTGGGGAGTTTACTCCACAGGTATTCGTCGGAGGTCAAATCTGAGGTCATATTCTTGTTCCTTGGCCAATTTTACGTACAGTGATCAAATTTTAGCCCTTTACTATGAAAAGTGTAAAATTAGTCCAAAATACTCAAATTCGTGTTTTTTCTCCAAAAAATAAACTAAAGTTGGCCATATCTCGGGCAAAATTTTTTTGCCGAACCTAATATTTTCACTTAAGACTCTCCTTTAGTTAGTTATAACGCCTACTAATAACAGGAAAAGTAGCGATATACATCGGCAACTTTGGCCCGTCCCGTACATTAAGAAACGTACGAATTTCGCCTATGTTTGACCCTGACGGGAATTAAACCTGAGTCTGGGGTCAAAATAAATGTCGTTTTCGTCATCAGCACCCTCGAAAACATCAAAAACAATGCAAAAACTCGAATAAAAAGAATGTTCAAAAAATACTCCGCTGGGATTTGAACCCGGGTCCGAAGTTCTCCGATTCGCTCGAAACTGGCACCATTGGTTTTCTCTCGTCGCCCCGATTCCAAAAATACCCCTACATGCCCTCCTAGCTGCATCCGTTGCCGAGATCCTCCTCGACCCCATGTAGACCATGATGCACCTGCAGCAGCGCCCCCGGGGCTCGGATCGGATTTGCTGCCACCGGGCGGTTCTTAGGGTCACCCAAGGAGGCTCCATACCAAATTTGGTCAAGATCGGACCACGGGAAGTCCTCGGACGGACGGACGGACGAACGAACGGACGCACAGCAGGGATCATACTATATGCCCGTCCCTCCGTCATTTTTTTACAAAAAATAAACGGGACGGGCCAAAAATCAGGCAAATCGGAGAGGGTCGCTGGAAGAAGTGGTCCGTCTTAGTTGATTTTGCTCCTTACTTTTTTGGCTTCAAATGCTGATATCGTCCCGCTCTTAGGCATTTGAAATTTAGAATAAACGTTAAAGTTTTAGGTAAACGAACGTCTCGATCTTCGCGGACCAGTGTCCTGGATGTCTGGACTTGGCCAGTATTGGCAGCCTTTTCTTCCGCAGCCTTCCCAGCCGTCTCGACATCGCCGCCCGCGCCATGCTGGCCGACCTGGAGGTGGACGCGGCGACAGTGCCGCCGTTCCAGCTGAGCCTCGCCACGCTGCCCGAGGACGAACTGCTGCGGGTGCTGGGCTTCCTCGGCACCAAGGAGCTGCTGCAGTGCCGCGCCGTGTGCCGCAGGCTGAGGGACTTGGCTCTGCACCCCAGCCTGTGGCGGAGCAGGAGCCTGGGGAGCCTGATCACGAGAATGTGCGTATCAAGTGTTTAGTTCCAATATTTTAAAGTTCATTGTTAATGGGATTGCACGACTGATGTGTTTGTAAGATGCAAAGAATGTGACAGGTGATGCAACTCCTAGTTCGCGATTTGGGAACACCTGCTTCGTAATTTTGCTTACAACTTGTTTGATTGTGAATCCTAGCAAACTCATTGTCCGGAAAATTACGATAGTCACTCTACAAATCGAAGAGTGTACATGGTATGCTCTAACTGGAGCATGCCTGCAAGCACGCTCTAGCTAGCGCATGCCTGCCAGGCATGCACTAACTAGTGCATACATGCCATGTACACGCTTCCTGATGCAGACAACTCCCTATCCCTTATGCACTAGATGCATGCTTCAGTTAGCGTGTACATGGCATGTATGCACTAGTTAGTGCATGCCTGGCAGGCATGCGCTAGTTAGAGCGTGCTTGCAGGCATGCTCCAGTTAGAGCATACCATGTACACTCTTCGATTTGTAGAGCACTCTTACGCTCTAAATCGTGCTACACTGGTTTTCTGAGTGTACTAATGAACTAATATTGAGCAATGACATTTTTATTTCATTATTAGACCCATGAAAAAGATTGCATTATGAGTGCAATAAATATTGTATCGCAATTAGCGTATTTATCACTTCATTGGTGTAGTTATCTCTTTATCACACCAAAACTGAGGTAATCTGGGCCCAGACCAGCCATAACCTAAGAGACTCATTACATTATTGACGCAATAATTTTTAGTGCTGGCACGAATGCGATAATTTGAACGAATCACGTTATCCTTTTTATCGCTACCAATTATGAAATTTATCACCAGAGTAGTAACAAGTACAAAATTCTACCTGAGCATTGTGTGTGTGTGAGGAGTGTGTGTGCTCCTGACATTTCTGTCGGGCTGGTTTTGCACCTGACGCCTCATTCATTTCTATGTAATTGCACTAAGTGAAGTGAAGCCTTACATTTTCAGCCATATTGAACTGGTGGCTACGACACTGCGTCTGGCACCTTGCCTGGACAAGCTTTATCTTCGGATGGATATGCGTGCTCACCCGCATGAGTTTGGGACTCTGCTTGTCTCGACAAACTGCGCTATCCGCTGCCTTGGTGTTTCAATGTCACTTTCAAACGGACTCTACACAGCGATGGCCCTTGAGAGGTATAAACAGTGAGCAGGTCGCTACAACCCAATTGCACTGCGAGAAAAAACTACAGGGAATCCTGTTAATTTTTTCACAGTGTCGCTCTGTACTTAAAACCACAGTGATCTCCTTCTTTTAAAAGACGGAGCTCACTGTTGTTTTTTTGTGTTCATCTCTCTGTTGTCCGAGCGGCCAATGCCACATCGGGACGACATGGTCGAAGCCTCACAGGTCACCTGGGTTTCCAAGGACGTCGACGGGCACCTCACAGGGTCCTCGATGACGATGTGAGCATTTTAGACCTAGGTTCCGACCATTCGTTGAAAAGGTCTCATCAAGGTTACTCGAATCAAGAATAAAAAAAAATTCTTGGTCAACCCCCTTTTTTAAGATCCTGTTCATCTTGGTCAACTCGATCTTGAAAAAAGGGGGTTGGCCAATACATTTTTTTTGTTCTTGATTTGAGTAGATCTTGATGAGACCTTTTCAACGAATGGTTGGAACCTAGGTCTAAAATGCTCACATCGTCATCGGGGACCCTGTGAGGTGTCCGTCGACGTCCTTGGGGACCCAGGTGACCTGTGAGGCTTCGACCATGCCGTCCCGATGTGGCATAGGCCGCTCGGACAACAGAGAGATGAACACAAAAAACAACAGTGAGCTCCGTCTTTTAAAAGAAGGAGATCACTGTGGTTTTAGGTACAGAGCGACGCTGTGAAAAAATTAACAGGATTCCCTGTAGTTTTTTCTCGCAGTGTGGCACTTTGCGATTGGCCACCCGTGCGTGCTTGATAAGTAAAATGGAACACTACAAATCCAAAGGTCAGACTTCTCGCCATTCCAGAGGCAAGACATAAAAGTCTCGCCAAGATTTGGTCAGACCTGAAAGTCTCGCCAAAATTTGGTCAGACAAAAAAGTCTCGCCACAAAACGGTCATACTCAAAAGTCTGACCCCAAAATGGCGAGACTTTTGTGTCTGACCACCACCGAAAGGCCGTAAGGCGCCGGACGGTTACGGCCTAAAGGCCGTGGTCAGACACAAAAGTCTCGCCATTTTGGGGTCAGACTTTTGTGTATGACCGTTTTGTGGCGAGACTTTTTTGTCTGACCAAATTTTGGCGAGACTTTCAGGTCTGACCAAATCTTGGCGAGACTTTAATGTCTCGCCATATTTTGGCGTGAAGTCTTTCCATCCAAATTGCAGTGAAGTGGAACAAAAACGAATGTTTTGCAGGCAAGCAGCCTTGGGACGTCTAAATGCCGTCACAGTCACTCTATGCCGAGATTACACTGGGGACTCATATGACGACTCATCTAAGTACTCATCGGAACTCCGGCTGCTGCTGAACAAAATTCTTCACACTCAAGGTGAGTCGGCAGGGTGGGTCTAAAATGGGAATCAAGGATGATCCCCCCAAATAGGATATTTCGGAGCAGCCCTGGCCCGGAAGAAGAAGAATACAAACGGAAGTTAGAAATGGCAGTTTCTATGAGAAATATACGCTGCAGATGAGGATCCGCAGCGTATATTTCTCATAGAAACTGCCATTTCTAACTTCCGTTTTTGTTCTTCTTCTTCCGTGCCAGAGCTGCTCCGAAATACCCTATTGAATCAGCTCAGAATTTTCGAGTCAGATCTCGTCAAAAATTAGGGAATGGAGTCAAACTCCATCAGGTTCAAATTCGGCTCAAAATTGTTAGCTTTAAAAGGGTGCGAAATATTGCCGCTGCCTGCAAGTTCAAGGGTGAGACAGTCTCAAGTACGAACCACGATGTCTCACGCTCACAAGCCACGTTTGACTCACACTTGCTGCCTCTAGTTCTCATTGATTCAATGCCACAGGACCTACTAGGGATGTGCGAATAGTTCGGTATCGAATCGAATCACCCCTGATTCGATTCGGGGACGGATCTCTTTGCTTCGACCCCGAATATTTGAAATTTTCGAATCGTCAGTGGTTCGTGTTCGAATCGGTTGCTCCAGAACCGTTGAATTTCGCGCGCATAGCGTTGTTTTCGTTGTTTTTATGCCAAAGCAAGATCAGATATTTAATTTTTACTTCTTTTTGTATTCCTGCCTTATGCCCTTTCTTTATTTCAGAAAATGTGTTTTGAAACTAACTAATTTTTTTTAGTTTCAGTTCGAATTTGATTCGATTCTGAATCTTTAAAAGTTCGATTCAATTCGATTCGACAACTTTTTCCAGATTCGATTCGAGTTCGATTCGAAACTTTTTCTTGAGATTCGATTCGAAATAAAATCCTTGATTCGCACATCCCTAGGACCTACGCTTGGAAGTAGTGCGAGACAACCCATGTCTTACACAAGTTTGTAAGCGTGAGACATTGTGGTTCGCAACGAAATGGTGTGAGACTGCGTCACACCTGGATTTTGAAAAGAACGTCCTTTGCAGTTACAAAGAGAACGGCGGCTTCGGAAATTACGAAGGAAATCGTTTGTAATGAAAACGATTTTGTTTGCAATACAAAGGAAAAATCTTCCGTAGCGTACGTACCTAGGCAGCCTGGGAATGATATTTTCTTTGTATTACCAACAAAATCGTTTTTCTTAAAGACGATTTCCTTCTTAGGCTGCGAAGCCGCTGTTTCCTTTTTATCACAAAGATCAGTGGCGGATCCAGAGGCGGCCCATTGGTTTGGGGGGGGGGGCAAAGTCGCTTTTTTTGCCTACTTACAGGGGCAAAGTAGCTCTTTTTGCTTACCGTCAACGGGGGTAACTTGGGACACCAGGGGTAACTTGGGACAGTCTGCCTTGTACAGCTTGTTGGTGCTGCCATTCAGCGACGGGGGTTCCTAGCGTCAAACCCGCGGCAGGGTTTTGTTTCAGAGGCCTCAGGGCATGCGCGGAAAGGTGGACGAGGTGCATAACATCACAATTAGTATTTGAGAAACGGGAAACTACATAATAGGGCTTTGGACAAAATATGTCTAACATTGACAAGTTGACCCTAGTGCAAGGAGTGGAATGCAGATTTGGCCGATTAGCCTCTCTGGGTTGTTAGATCATACACAGACAATAACGTTCGCAAAAGGGCGTTGATTTAAGTTTTCCCATCTTCGGTGCAGACTTCAATTAATCAAAAATCGAAATTTTACGGGGTAACTTGGGACAGTCTTTTCCTCATGTTTCCAGCAGTCCTAGCCTTCTTGGAGTTGACTGACCCGGTCCCTGACATAACTGAAACTTCGGATTTTACGCTGATGATGGAAAGAGATGCCTTGCTCTGCAGTTTCGTCTTCTGGTAATCCATATTTTAAAATTTTCAGAAAATACTTGGATCAGGAGAAAAGAGAGTTCCACGTAGAGCCCTAGATATAGTCTAATATCGGTCCTACAATAGTTCGTAGGCCTGAATTCTTGGTCTACATGTTGAGACTAAATTTTATTCCATCCATTAGCATCAATAGATGCATGGGAATGTAGCTAATTACCTACTGTCCCAAGTTACCCCCGGTCATGGGGTAACTTGGGACACTCTTTCGAGACCTTTTGAAAACGATACAATCGAGGCAAATGAACCAGACGAGCAAGAAATCATGGGGAAAGGGTCAAACTTTAACATAGTTAGGATCCAATCACCTAGGTTGAGAATCTTGCCTCTGGCGTTCAAAAAACATGAAAAAGTGTCCCAAGTTACCCCCGTTGACGGTACCTTTCAGGCGACTATCCAGGGGCTATTGGGGGGGGGGGTGTCAAGTTTTAAGGTGCCACGGCAGAAATTTTACTTTAACTTTCCAATGTGAGCGTGGATTTAAGATTTGATGCAGGATTGAGTTTAAGGTGGGCAACGGACAGAAATTACTTTGCATTTCACCTGAAGGACCACTACTCTCATCTTTGACGTTCGTGCGTATGAACAGTTCGTTAAGAAGCTTAACAAATTTGTCAAGACAAAAGTGTAAATAATTTCTAAAATACTCTGCAAACTAAAGTGTGTATATACACTGTTCGGGATTATTTTGTGAAATTACGATTAGTTGTCTGTTAAATTTGTACCACGAACTGCTCGTAAATTTAATAAACGATCTGATCATCCACCTTTTTTTCGTCAATTTACAAAAATATTCTTAAACTTACAAACTTTATCCTCAAATTTTGGTCGTTTCAGGCATTTTTTCTTCCTATATAGTAAGGAAACAACGGACGAAAACGCACTTTTTCAGACTTGCTTTTACAATCATACTTGTAAATTAACGATTTCACCTGTAAATTTAAGAAGCAGTTTGTAAAATGATGAACAATTTGTCAATTTACAATTTTCTTTGTAAAAAAACAATGCAGTTCGTGGTACAAATTTAACAGACAACTATTCTTAAAAATAAAGCTTGATTTGTAAAAAAACAAGTTTACGCGTGATAAAACGAGAATAGTCGTAAGATAACGATTTTATCAGTAAAACTACGATCTTTCGTCAGTAACATTAAGGTTTCATCGTAAAATTACGAATTTATTCCTAAATTTATGAGGAAAGTTTGTCGAAAATATGACGATTGTTCGTTTCATGAATCTTGTAGTTATTTTACGAATTATTATTTGTAAAATTACAACACTAATTGTTGGGTTTACTGTTGTAAAATGACGACTTCCCTTAACAGTGTAGTACACTCTTATTAGAGCATGCTTCCAAGTACACTCTTATTTACAGCATACTTGCTAGGTACACACTAAAATAGAGTGTACATTGCATGTACACGCTAAATAAGAGTGTACCTGTCAAGTACACTTAAACTGGCCCATGCTTTTAGATAGGACTTATCGAGTGTATTTTAGCGTGTACATGGAAGGTACACACTTATTTAGCGTGTACTTGCCAGGCACACTCTATTTTAGCGTGTTGTTTTGGTAGCGAACTCACGGACCTTCAGATTATGAGACTGATCACCATGACCATGGTTTATTGACAACTATTACAATGGCCTAACTTGTGCTCGAGCCCCGGTCACTCCCCACAAGAGCTTGGCTCACACTAAATGTTTATGTAGAAATTTTTACGTGCCACTTGCACGATTTTGTGCATGCGGGGAATTTGCATAATATTATGCGTGAAAATGCATAAATTTATGCAAATTGACGCACAATTTTATGCACGACGGCACACAAGTTTAAAATTATGCATCACCACGTACAAAATTGTACATAAACATTTAGTGTGCTCACCTTGTCCGTATCCCGGCTGGGCTGCGACTGCCCGTCCGCGGCCGCGTCGCTCCGGGCCTCGGCCCTTCGCGACGCGCCCGGCGGCGATTTTGCTGACACAAGGGGTATGAGCCGCGGCGGTGGCGGATGCAGCGGCCGCGGCCCGTAAAGTGTTTGAACCTGCGTGGAGTGGCGCAACACTCCCCGCGTACAAAGATCACTGACTCCCGGCAGTGAAGGAGTTAAAAGAAATTATGCAAATGAATTTATGGTTATAGCCCTAGCAATTATGCTGTAAATAAGAGTGTACTTGGAAGCATGCTCTAATAAGAGTGTACTATGTACACACTTAAGTTTGCAGAGTAGTAGTACGCTTAGTAATGCGCAGAAACGTTAATACGTTTTTCGACAAAAAAAACCTGTACGAGTCGATTTAAGATATCACCAGTTGGCAGTCGTACAGTATTTACCCGCTGGTTTCAGACAATGATTTGATTTTGCAGGATTGGCGTCGGTGGAGGTAAAGGTTTCGGGTTATCCTGGGATCGAAACCTTCCCCCAGGAGCTTTGCCTCCTGAAGGCCGCCAAGGGGGACGTCCACGTGCCGCCATCCTTGCGCAGACTGGTGTACGAGCCCGGCCTGGACGACGAGGCCAACCTGACCTCCTATCTTCAGTGGCACGCGAGCACGCTGCAGGTAAGGATTGTCAGGCCAGCTGAAGAAGAACAGGGCGCAGTTTCGTCGGGTAGGGTTTGAAGGCAGGCGTTGACACTTTGTAAAACCAATGATGGTATTCACAGATTTGTGAACACCATCATTGGTTTTACAGAGTATTCACAGATCTGTGAATACCATCATTGGTTTTACAGAGTATTCACAGATCTGTGAATACCATCATTGGTTTTACAGAGTATTCACAGATCTGTAAATACCATCATTGGTTTTACAGAGTGTCAACGCCTGCCTTCAAACCCGACGAAACTGCGCCCTGTCCTTCGTCAGCTGGCCTGACAATTCTTACCTGCAGCGTGTAAGTTCATGTCACAGCTGGAATCGTAATCAAACCATGTCTATTATTTGCCCCTGATTTGGCGCTTCAAAACATATAATCCTGACTGGCTGAAAACACCCAAAATACAAGTAAGGAAGTAGAAGATACTCATCAGACCCCTATATCTATCATGGGATCATAGCTAATCCCATTCTTACATACCCAGGCTACAAATAAGTCATTTCTCCGCTAAAGTCCTTCAGACTTCGGAGTGAAATTTACGCTTTCTCCATAGCTCCCAAACCAAGTCTGTACCCAGGCTGAAATTTTGTACAGTTATTAAGACCAAGAAAAGGTACTTTCTCAAATTCTTTCAAAAATATGTTTTTGAGATCTAGAAAAAAAATTAAAGTTCAACTTTTTTAAAAAAGTTAAAGTTTTTCAAAATTCTTGAAAAATTATAAAATGATGTCCTCATGCCCCCATAGGCCTGGTAAAATTTTCAAGTCCCTAGGTCAAGGTCTTCCCATCGATTTGTACCTTCAAAGTTGACATTTACCAAAAAGTCGCAAAACACCCTATGGTCCACTGCTCCGGACTGGGTCGACCTAGGACCTTCAAAATTTGTGGGCATCTACCCTAGGGGTACATGTAGTAAAATTTTAGTTCAGATCGGTGACACCAAAAAAAAATCGTGTGCTCCCTAGGTATGGAATCAGTCAGATATATTGTTACAAAGAACTTGTACTTCGTAATACGAATGTAACGGCGGTTTCGCGGCCCGTGAAGGACACCGTTTGCAATTCGAAGGAAAATTTTTTCTACACCTACGACGGACGTCGTCGCAGCCGGCAAAGGATTGTTTTGTTCGTATGACAGAACGATTTTGTTCGTAGTCTGCGAAGACTTTGTTTTCCTTGCATTGCAAAGAGCAGTTCTTTGTAGCATTTTAAGTGTGTACTCAAAGGCCAAAGACTAAGAAGCATCGCCCCGTAACACAAAGAAAACGAAGGCATTCTGAAATCTACGAAGAAACTCTTTGCGAAACATCTTAGTCCTGCCGAACTAATTTTAACAGTGTAAGCTTATCACGCTTATCCTGTTAGACGGTTGAGAGCTCCACATTTGTGATGCTGAGAGGACAGATAGCATGTGACCTCGTGTGAACAACGAACAACACTACGTTTGGTGGTGCGGTCTACACTGATAAAGATTTTGTCGTAACTTAGCGACACATTTGTCGCTATTTTTTTTTAGTGGTAAGATTTGTTGTGGAACAAATGGCTTGTTAAACCATAGTTGCACTGAAACTAAAGGATAATTTCACAACAACTAACTTGTAATAACACATCAACAGTCAACCTTCAAAAACAGGTCGTTGACCAACAACAAATGTTGTTAATCAACGAAAAGTATTGTAAGTCAAAGATTTTGTATTGTCAGCGACAAGTATTCCTGGAGTACTTTTGTCACTAAATTTATTCTGCATGGTTCTTTTTTTCAACAATAGTAATTTCTCTATGACTTTGAAGAACAAAATAGATGATTATTTTAATATGCTTTAATTGAGCAAATAATTGCAAAAGATATTTTTGTGGTTCATGATGAAATTCTATGTTTTGGAGCGACTAAATTTTCACTCATCTAATTGTTTCTGTACAACCATTTTGCAACAGTGTAAGTCATTGTCCGCACCATGCGTGCGGAGTTCTCCACTTGTTGGGTTTCCCGTACACTTGAGCTTGTAGAGTGACGGTCCCTTTGTCTCTTTCCCTCAGGTTGTGCATTTCAGTACGGACCACCCCCATGCGGCTGTGACGCCGCTCCTGTGCTCCCTGCCCCATCTGCGGGAACTGCAGTGCGGTTTCTTGGAGAACATGCCGGCGCTTCTGCAGTGCTCTGAACTCAAGTCTCTGCATCTGTTCGTGAACGTGGACGACTCGACGAGACCGCTTTTGCCTGGAGTGGAGCAGTACATCCGCACGGCAGTCACCCGCCTGCAGACCCTGACACTGGAGTACCCAAACCCTAATAGTGTAAACTCAGACCCTGTCTGCGTGGACGCATTGAACCTGCTGCTGAAACTAGCGGGCCCCAGTAAGAGTGCCGCACCAGCGCTGGTTAATCTCACAATATTATATACTAATTGTTTCGGTTGCGAATATGCGTGGGCACCGCAACCGCAGCTGCCGCCTCTAGCTGCCGTCCTCCACCGCCTCAAGCACCTCGTCACTCTGGACCTGAACGGACCGCCCACGCCCAGCTTCTTCGCCGCCATGGATGGCGAAGTGTTGCCCAGCCTGAAACGGTTGTCGTTTCGGGCTGACCACCCCGAGTGGGGCTGGGGTTGCCCGCACGAGTGGTGCCACGGCGAGGAGCCCCGAGCCATCCTGCGCAGGTACCCTCGGCTACACCTGGTTGTGAGTCCGAGCCACGTAGATGATGAATGCACGTTCTGCACCGAAAGAGATTGTCATGAGTTTTATGAGGAGACTGATCATATCCTCTTCAGCCATCCTGTTGACGCGCGTTGTGACCAGGACCATTCTGAAGATTTTCACATAGTTGTATGAAGTTGTATGATGAAGAAATCTGAATTCATGTGAACGGTCGCAACTGATTTCATTGTTTAAACTAATTAGTATTCGTTCTGTCCTTCTTGTGGTATTTATGCGCTAGAGTGTCGTCACGGAAGCGCTCAGTTCCTTACATTAAATTTCTAAGCCTTTGTTCCTTGTCTTTGTGGCATTTATTGTGTTGAAAAGCCTATTGCTGACGATCCTTTCTTCGTCACTTCTTCCCGGAATCAGGAGGATGTGTTTATAACCTTTAAGCAGTTGTCAAAATAAGGGACACTCTGGCTATGACGAAAGCCAGGGACGAAATCTGCAAAAAACTCTTGTTTATTCTTTGATTAGATCAATTGTGTGGCATTCGTACATAACAGCGCATCTACCGTGGGATTGTCTGTGAAGACACGTTGTTCTGTCTGATGATCACTCAACTAGTCTGCCAAAGTTCACGTCTGTTATTAGGGTCAGTTGGGGTAATAATGGGACACTGAAAACTTGGGGGAAAATGGAACACTTTCTAAACTTGACGAGTTTTGGCATTTTAAAACGTCCTACAATGACATGTTTGTGCTTAAAATGTTCATTGAGGTGTCTAGTATTCCATTTTTCATTCGGCGGGACAATGACTGCTCATAGAAATGAGAATTAAGAAATCAAGCAAAACATGGCAATAATGGGTTTTCTAAAGGTTGGAAAAATTTGCCGCAGAGGTCATCTAATTAGAACACTACAGAACCCCCCATAAACAGAAAAGTGAAGTATTATAGTGTTTTGGAAAGCTAAAAGAACGAGGATTTCGATCCACCAACTCATTTTGACATCAATGCATTCGTTTACTTGCAATTGTAGAATTTTCCTGTGGGGTAAAAATGGGACACCACTTTGGGGAAGAATGGGACACTCCTGGGGTAAAAATGGGACACTTGGTTAATGGTAAATTGTTGCCTTTGGGGAGAAAATTTTCAAAGTTGTTCGAATTGACATCTCTGAACGGAAATAGATAGGCCTCGTCAATACAAACAAAAAATGTCAATACATGCTATGGGTTTTGACGGATATTTAAAAAGTTAATGGGCTTTGAAATTAACAAATAGTCGCAAAAGGTCAAATTGCACCCAAGTTCTTTTGAAGCGCAATGCCTCTTCATTTTTCATCCGAACCGGTGGCATGTGATGACATTTATTGTTCCTCGTGTTGAGACGGATCGAATTTTATAAAGTGGTGTCTATTTGGAAAACTTTGAGGCCTGTTTTACCACTGCTAAGCCCTTGTCCCATTTTTACCCCAGCGTGTCCCATTTTTACTCCAAACTTACAAGTCCGAATTTTCACAGTTTATTTTACACAACTGCAAAATTAAATGACTTATTAGGCACGAAGTAGCCTTATAGTATACCCAGGATTCAGCCGGCCCGAGATTCGATTTGTGTGGCCCTTTATGCATTTCGGAAATTTTCTATACGATTTTAATGAGATTTTGCAGACTTGTAGATCTTTTTACGCTGATTCTGATGCTGAAATCTGGTTAAAAATTTGGTGGCCAATTTTGAGAAATTCGCTGTCAAAATCGCCGTTTCCATGGCAAAACTCGACTCGTCAAAGGAAAAAGAAGGGAGTGGGGGGAGCCGAGCCGAGCCGGACCAATAGCGGAGCTTCTTTTTGGGTCTGTACAGCTTACTCCAAAAGCTGAAATAGCACGTTCGAAATGAAAAATTTCTTTGACTGCAGGTAGACAAGATGCAACAATAGAATTGGTGTCGTTTCGAACGTGGCCATTTGGATCGGCCGGCCGGCCAGTGACTTTTTTTGAGAGTGTCCCGCACCAATCCCGCACCTCTGCGTTGTTGTTTTTGTTGTTGTTTTGTTGAAAATTTTTGTTACTCTTCAAATCGGAGTGAATTGAGCCATTTAACTGCGTACCTGTGCACATGCATCTGTGAATTATCTTTCCTTAATGCAGTTTAAGAGTCGCTTTAAGACTTTTAGTCTCTTTTTGAATAAGCTGGTCATGTAGCTGCTCCTTTTGGCCAGGTTTGATGGTACTTCTGATTCAGTTAGCACCATGATCACTTCGCTCCACCTCGCGACTTTCAATGCTCATGTTCCTCGAACAAGACTCACCCGCGTTTCGAGACCATCCCTCTCGAGTTTATAAAGTTTGTCAAGCCAACCGTCGTGGTGTTGCTACGTTGTGAGTGAGAACTATTACACAGAATTGAAGAAAACATGACTAGAGAACCGTAGCCTTTTGAAACAAGCCAAACAATTCAACGTCAGCAACAATGGAGGGGCAGTTTTAATGCGCGACTATACTCGTGTTTTCAGCTTCGCGATTTTCGCAAGGGCGCAGACGCCGACAAAATTGTTGCCAACCCGCGAAAATAAGTTTACTGCCTTCTTTATCTGCTACCAAAATTTTTACAATGATGGACTTCAAAGATGTTCCTTTGTCAGATCACTGTGGAATACATTAGGATTGGAATTTTTCGAATTTCCCGGCATTTTGATTTCTCTTTATTGCCAAGGTTAAATTTTGACGGGTGGCACATCGACCACATTGGTATCACTGCCGTTCGTAGCCACCCTTGAGCCACCCCCAACCTTTTACTTTTTTGCTTTCCCCACACTCCTACCCAAATTAACTTCGTGACTCCTAGGATTTCTTGAAATCGTATTTTTGATCTTCTTTTAACGTCAATTGGTGTGGAACAGAGTACCCTATCCTTTAAAAGCATTAGAAACACTCCAACTCGCCATTGTAGAGTTGTGGAAACCTTATTGTTCAAACTGTCCCATTATTACCCCAACTGACCCTACCGGTTTTGAGATTTAATTCAGTGCTGAGTCGGCACTATCGTGTTGTAGACACCCGTATTTGGCACAGTAAATAATTCTTCATTTTTCGCAAGTATATGTATTTGGACACGTATCTAAGAGGGTAACCTTTTCTCTGCAGCGTATGGCCACTCACTCCAAATACCTAGGCGTCTGGCGCACAGGTGCGGGGGAGATTTGTCCCTAAACCCGTTTACCATCAGGGAATACTAACCGACTTATCACCTAAACGGAAAGAAACAACAAATGCTTACAGTCTTAATATTCATTTATTGAAGGACATAAACGCATGAATGGATCAGAAACAAACAAAGAAACTGGTTTAAGAATAAAAACAAAGCAGCCCGACAGAACAGAATTGGGCACAATAGATCTATTGTTATTATCACTTTGCTTGCATATAACTGTAGTAACTGACACAGAGCGCAATGGAAATTATGGAAGCAGGTATCCAAACCTCAAAACCATCTCCGTACTAGAAAATGAAACAGCGAATCAAACAGCTGCAGGCAGCTTTATGCATATGTAATTTTAAAAAAACATCAGGTCGGTTCATTAGGCTCGTTTACACGAAAATGAACAAAAAAATGCAACAAAACGGAATCAACATTAAACTTAAAATACAAGACGGCATTAAGGTTTGTTAAGGCCATAAGCGAACCGCACTGAGTACAGTAGAATTCTACACGAACTTGACGTTCTGCAGTTCAACCCACGAACCACAGTGCCAGCGGTTTCCCCAGCCAGACAGGTGGTACGACCCCTTGGGCTTGGCTTCACCGATCAGCTCCAGGTTGGTCGTGATGTAGCCCAGGATCTTCGCCCCAGGGGCCTCGGTGGGCTTGACGTCCCTGTCGTAGTAGATGCAGACCTCGTTGTTGCCGCGGATCAGGATGGCTCCGGCCTGCAAGCATCGACTAGTTTAACGGGCTTGGAACCAACGCTAAGGGCTTCTCTGCGAGCGGGTACACTGAGAATGAATGGGTCACCACCATCACCCTTTAAGGGGAGGTTCTGGTGAAAATCTTGCCATTTTCCAAATGGATCCCACTGTCATAATTTGTTCGGAATATAAAATCTTTCTTAGAGGAGACTAAAATTTGACTTTTGAAAGCACATCCCAGGCTCTGAACCCAGTCGAAGAGTCTTTTTGAGCCTATTTTGGCTGTATCTCAAAAAATCTCCTTGCACATACTATTTTGTCGTAAAAGGTTGACCTTGACATTTTTCACTTCTTCGATTCATTTTCAAAAGATTTTGGCATGCATAGCTCAAAATTTCCAATACAGTATTAATTGTAAGCTTTTAAAGCTGAAAAGTCCCTAAAATTTGACTTTGATTTTGACGCATTTCGTTGGTATTATGGAGAAAATCCCCACCATATTATGTTGGTGCAGCCTTTCACCGTAAGACATTTACTGTGTAAATCGTTTACGCCCTTAAAGGTCATAATTGTAATGCCTTTGTTCAACCAGTGTTCGTACCATACATATGCTCAAAATACTCCAAAGGGTTTTGAGCGAGGGGGTGCGACAATCGCGCCGGCTCACAGTGGGCCAGAAGACCGGTGGAGACGGCCAAAACTCTAGGCGCGTTTTGAGCTCCAGAGTCGCTAAATGGGACTCGAACCGAACGTGTGGCCCCACCAATGGATTGCTCTCCGAACGAGGCCATTGGTAGGGTCACACGTTCGGTTCGAGCCCTGTTTAGCGACTCTGGACACTCTACCAAAAATGTCCTGTAAATGCCGTTAATTTATTACCAGTTTTCACTGTAGGTCAATTCACAGCGTTTACTGTGATCTGCTCACGGGATTCACTGTGATCTTGTTCGCGGTGTTCACTGTGATCTGGTCCCCAGTAAACACTGTGAGTTTGACGCCGCTAAGCACCGAAGTACTGCAAATCAGGCTCCAATTCACGGCGTTTACTGTGGCCAGATCACAGTGAACACTGTAACCGAGATCACAGTGAACGCCGTGAACTAGTTCACAGCAAACGCCGTGAATTGCATAACAGCAAACATTGGTAATAAATTAACGGCGTTGACAGGACATTTTTTGTAGAGTGGAGCTCAAAACGCGTCTAGAGTTTTGGCCGCCTCCACCGGTCTTCTGGCCCACTGTGCGGCTTTACCTTGAGCGTTACACCGACGCCGTGTGTTGGGAGCCGCGCGCGGAGGGCTGGAAGCGCCGCGTGCTTGGACCCCTCGCAGCTGAGGCAATCCTCGTCCCCGGACGGGAAGTCCAGGCCCTGCAGCAGCTCCAGCACGGCTTGGCGCTCGCCGCTGCCCAGGCTGGACACGGTGAGCGTGATGCCGATGTCCCCTTCCTCCGTCTCGCCCTCGTCGTCCCGCAGGGTGGCGAAGGCCGTCAGCTTGACGCCGAGGTCGTCGAGAGCGCGCAGCGTGGCTTGCGCGGCGCGCAGCCGCCCCTCGGCCTCGGCACGCGCCGTCAGCGCGTCCACGCAACACTGCTAGAAAAAACCACAATTTTTCCACGGAAAAGGTCTGTCATCATTTTGCCCTATCAGTCCGTATGACTTCTGTACCAGGTACGGAAAGGATACAGTTGAACCGTCCTGATTTGTTCATAGGAAACCGTACAATCTTCGCATAAAAAATGGTTGGGTTTGTGACGAAATAGTCCAGCCCAATAATTCTAAGCTAACGGTAATCCGTGTAAATTTTCTGTGCTCGTTGTCCGTGCTATTTTCAGTATTAACCACAGTAATCCATGTAGATAATCTGTACACATTGTCCGTGCCATTTTCAGCATGATGGCGAGGAATGTTAAGAAATCAAGCACAAGAATTCAATTAACATGTTATTATTCCAAATTTTTTTTAAAACATTTGTTGGAATGAGAAAAAAATCCATTCAAAATTAAGATTACAATTGACATAATTGAAAAATTTCTTGCTTTGCAGGTGAGCTAGAGTGAGCTTGAGGCATGCTTTCGTCTCCAACTTCTGTCGAGCTGTCTCCTCCGCTGCTTTACAACACTGCACTGCATGCTTCATTCAACTGCTTGTTGCCTGGCAAAACTTCTCTCCAGCGTGCTGTGTCTTCATTGCAGAAAATCATGCCTACAAACACAAATAAAGTGTGTCAAAAAAAGCAGAAAAATAAAGTTACACTCAATCCATTAATCTTTTTATACTTGCTTTGAAATTTCCAGTCAAATTGTTCACGATAATGTTCCAGATGTTCCAAATGGTCCAAATGTTCCAGCAGTCTGCCTGAAGAAAAGAAAAACCATAGTTAATTTTACTTCAGACACATTAGAATTCTAGTAGTGAACTATTGAAAAGACATGTGGATGCATGTTTTTACCTGTCTTTTACCAGTATTTTCAATATCTGAAATGTAGATGCAGTAGAGCAAGACTTCAAAGGGAAATAGTGCCGTCGCTTCTCAAAGTTACATCCAATGTGACCAACATTAAATATTCCTGTAAGCCAAGGTACAAAATAAGTTTTAGAAAGGAAATAGTTCAGAAAACATTAAGATCAGAACAAGATTTTCTCAAAACATTTTTATCTTACCATGCAACTACATGCAGATCACAGAATGCTTCAGTGTAAGGCATGAGGCCCCCAAAAATTGGTAGATTGGTAGAGGGTAGTAATCACAAAGGTCTTTGTGCCTCTGGTATCTATACAATGGAGTTGCCATGTCTTCAACTTTGTAGTATCCATTGAAAGAATTAACAGCTTCTTTTTCTTCTAGTAGAAATGACACTTCATTCAATTCATCCAACATAATGTGAGAAATTCGACCCACAATCAAGTTTGAAGCTTCAGATGAGTCAAGCACCAAATAATAACCAATCTCATATGAAGTTCCCTTGACCAATACTTTACTCAAAAACTCCACAGTATTCCAAGAAAAATTGGCCGGGAGACATGATAATTCTTCTGGTGAGAATGAATCCTTTGACAGTGAAAGAATACTGCCAGGTAAATGTATTACATCTGGGCAAAGTAAACCAGTGCTATGATCAAATGCATATTTGCACATATACTTGTTTGCCAGTGTAGAGGTGATATTGATAAAGCTTCTGCAAGCATGCGCATATCTCTTGAACTGAATGTGAAAAGTTTCATAGCGGAGGGTTCCCAATTGCAACAGAGGGCCCACTTTAGCGATGAGGTCTGCTATATGAGCCAGACCATGGAGTTTTGGGATGAAGCATTTGGCAAAATATTTTTCAAGCAGTTTCACAGTACTTATAAACTCCCTAATCATAGTTTTTAGATATGCCACTTGAATGAAAGTAATTTTTGGAGCTGCAACATATTCTGTTATTTCCTTCAGCTTTAGAAACAATTGCCACACTGGATCTTGTTTATCCTTAATGAGGTCAGAGATGATGAAGGGAAGCAGCCTTATGAAGTTCCAATTTTGAACAGCATTGCCACAGAGTTCATCAAGAGATTTCAAAGGTTTGGGAGGGTCATGCTTGTCTCTTCCTTGACACTTAAATTTCTTGATTCGTCGATTGAGACAAGGAAGATCAAAATACTTCTTCACAGTGATAAAGTAATTTAAAACTCTGGCTGTTACATATTTGAAGATCCCCTCAAATAGATCATGTCCGACACAAGGGACTTGGGCTGGAGAAGCAACATGAAAATTTAATAGCTCAGAATTAAAAGGAGATGGGTGATATTTGACTCCTTTGAAATTCACTCCACACACTTTTTTCATAGCATGCTTTGACAAAATAGTTTTGATCAATGACTTTGATGCAGGAGCACTGCCCCTTGAAGTTACCTTCTCTGCCTGTTCTCTTGCTTTTTGTAGCGCTTTTTTCTTAGCTGCTGCAATTGCTTCTGCTTTTTGTTCTTTGTGGAGTTTGCTGGCCTTCTCTACAAACTGGTCATATTCATCTGGAGTCCTCCATGGTTTTACTTCATATGGTATTAAATTAAATTCTTCTTTGGAAATGGGGCAAAATCTACAAAAGTAATGGGCAGAGAAACTTCGGACATATCCACCCATGGTATGTTGGCCCAAATTATCACCTATCATAAACATGAGGCACACAGGGATTTTCTCACCATTAATTTCAATACCATTCAATTTTAAGTCTTTCAATTCATCCAGAAGCGGTTTTAAGGCCCTCTTCAAAACATCCTCGCCATCAATCACTTCTTGTCGAGTGGGTTGAGTATCCTTCTCTAGAACCAGATAGACCAGCTGAATAAGATCCAACTTGGTGCGGTATTCTGATGGAAGATTGCCCACAGAATAATAAAAGCCTATAGGCTTGTGGTCTCCAGTTGATGGGCCGAAAGGATTAAAGGCAAATGCATCTTGGAAGAGATGAATCTGGATGCATTTGCCATCACTGTGCTGAGTTTGATGGTGTTTGTATGCAGAGCCATCTGTATAATCAGACAGAACAGATGGATCACCTTCTCCTTTGTCGAATGATTTTAGAACCATTTCCTTCAAGTCCGGATCCTTTAAGAGAAGTGTCAGTGTATCTCTTATAGGAACATACTGAGCCACCCTCTTTTTTCCAGCTTCATTGAGACCAAAATATATTTCTTTCGGTGATACGTAGGGAAATCTTGAGTGCCAAAATTTTTTTCTGAGATGGTGTGTAGCCATATGACTAGAGTCTTCATTTTTATGGTGTACGTTGAACACTGGATCAGATTTGAAGGTTGTTCCTACAACGGCTTGAGTTATTTCCTCTGAGACATTGTAACTTGATAGTGCTTCTTTCAGGCTCTTCTTCAAAAAATAATGACTAAATTCAGACATTTTTTTAATTTCAGTTGAGATTTCCTGTACAACAACCGTAGGAATAGCATGTACACCTTCAAGCTTGAGATAAAACTTGGCAATTTCATCTTTCACTACGTATTCAGGAAATGGATCAATTTCTTCAGTTTCTTCATTGTTTACATTTTCTTCACCAATTGTGTCCATTCCCTCAAGATTATCAAAGGCATGAGAAGTCCCCTCAGCATTAGTTTCTGAAAAGGTCTCTTCTGTTGATGTTTCTGGCAGAGCCGCAAGACTTGTCCCACCAAATGTTGCTGCTGGGTGATCCCTGTACATGTGAAGCTGATGCTTCCGTTTATCACTGAAAACTGTCTGGCATGTTCCAAGACAACATTTGAAACTTGTCTTTTCTTCTCCTTCTTTGGATTCTAGATGTTTTGAGACATGCTTCATGTACGCACTTCTTGTATCGAAAGCTTCACAACAAGCTGTGACAGGGCAAGGGACTTTCACTTGGCATGGTGGAACTGTAGGTTTTTCTCTGGCGTCACGGTGGAATCTTGAGACATGGCTTTCAAAAGAGGTAGCACTACTCAGATTTCTTTTGCAGAAACAGCATGGAATTGTGAACTTCTTGTAAACAGAGTGGACTTTACTATGCTCACAATACAGAGCACTTGTTGAAAATAAAAGCTTGCAATATTTACATTGGAATCCCATTTTCTGAAATCAAACAAACAAAAAGAACATAAGAATAAAGTATAAAAATTAAGAGAAGTATTAAGCAGCAGAGTACAAACTGTAACATGGTTATAAATCAAAGAGAACAGAGGCCAAAGAAAATTTTTTGTCAGCTGGAAAATTTAAGATTTCATCCAGAAAGTGTAATGCAAATAAGGGTCTCTTATTTGTATTTATAGAGAAAAGCAGCTATATTCTGAAGAAAACTTAAAATTACAAACTAGTGGAACCTTGTCAGAGTTGAAAGTTTAATTAAGGCCAACTTACCTATTATAGAAAATGCCAGAAGCGCTTGTGATGTAAGTAGACAAAGGAAAACATCCTGGTCTAATTCAACCTTGGTCATTAACTTCTTGGCCGACTTGACCTGCTTTAGATAGAAAAAAAAATATTTAGGTCCTAATATGTCAACAAAATTTGATTGGATGGCATATTTAAAATGATTACAATCTCAATTGTTTACCTGAAGAAAACATACCTTCTTCCAAAATGGAAGAAGAGAAAAATCTTCGAACGTCAAACACCACTCTTACACCCTTGAGACCCTCGGACCTATTATATGAACAGAAATTTACACTATTAGAACAACAGTCACAGACTTACTCTACTTGTCCAAATCCCATTGGATGTTTTCGAGAACGACAAATTCCTGAGGACATTTAAGCTCCTTAAAACCCTTACTGGAGGGCAGACAAAGTTTTGAACTGTTACGAATACATCTTTAAAAATAGTGTGAAGCAAATTGAAACTCAAGTTCATGTTGTGTTTAACCTCAACTGCAACATCTCCCAGCCTCATTAGCATGGCAAGAATAATAACAATTGGCTGAATGCAAGTGCAGTTATGATTAAACTTCAATTTTCTTTTCCTTAATACTAAATGCAGTAAATCAGACGCCAACTTTGGTCAGCAACGGTGATATAGAATTTCTTTCTACTGTGCACTGTTGTCATGCCAGCACCATGCTGTCTGAGATGAGGCAGAAAATCAACGGCAGAGAAATTAGCCATGCAGGGAAATGCCAGGGGCTCGGGATTACTTGATAAAAAAAAAAAGGAACCAGGGAATTAGTTCAACTCAAACTGCAGATCAACTAAGATGAACAAACCATTCTCTGAGAACAATAAGATACAAAGACACAGCCAAGACAACCCAAGTTTTCTATTGCCAACATTCACAAAATTTACACTAGGAAGCTTTTTTGTAGTAAATCACAAATGAATTACAAAAGGGAGATGTAATTAATTTTTCTGTAGATGAAAAGAGAATAATTTTTTTTGTGTGTGAGAAACATAAAGAATAATAATCAATTGAAGTTGACCTATTCTTATCCCATTTTGGCATTTATAAGTTGGCACCATCTCACCACAGAGAGAAACAGAGACCTGTTGTATAAACACTGTATTTGACCATCAAATGGTACCCTTGACAATTTAAAGATCATGGTAAGAACTTTAGTAGAAGTAGAAATAAAAATGCTGTCATAAAGATAAGAATGTGAACTGATCATTTTTTTTCCTCTATATAGATGGAGGAGCTTTTGATAAAAATTATACAAGAAGCTGCCCCAACGTACCAGCAAGCCACACAATTGGCGCAGCACTTGCTCTCAGAAAATGTGGGGGTCACCTCTGAGGCAGATCTGAAAATCGTGACCAGTGAAATGCTTCGATCAGATCCATCCATTTCCCGTCTCAATCCCATCCAGGAACGGAAAGTTTTGAGCTTGTTTTCTGGAGGGGGAGTGGGAACATCAGGTGAGATTCTAGCATAAAAAAGGACAGTAATGTTGTTTTGTTTTTGTTTTTCAAAAAACAGACACAAATAATTTTCTTTTTGATTAAGGTCAATCTACAGCTGGTCCTTCAAATCAAATCACACCTCAGCCAAGTACCTCGCAGCAGCTCCTAACAGAGGACTTTTCATTTAAAGTTCCGTGGCAGACACAGCCAAAGGAATTGATGGACAAGTTAAAAAGTGCATCTAACAGAAAAGAAAGAGCCTCTCCACAGGATGAAAAAACTTTAAGATTAAGCATAGGAGGGAGTTTAATAAAAGCTTATGAGTTGTACAAGGATGCACACCCAGGAAGCCAAAAGACTCCAGGGAAAGACATTTATCAAAATGTTGCAGAACAGGTAAATTGCAATCCTTTAAATTACTCACAAGTTTGAAAAATATATTTTAATAATGGTTTTGTTTACAGGTTTTTGCTAGATTACCCGATTGCTTTGTTGACATTGTAGATGGAAAAAAAGTTGGAGATGGAAAAGCTAGTTTTACAAAAAGTTTTGGAATAAGTGTTGATAATAGGATGAGGGACAAAAATAAAAGCAAACCCCAGCGAGCAGTGAGAGGAAAGGGGATTGTTGGTGTATTGCCCAATCAATACCAGCCTGATGTTAGAAATGCTATAGAGCAGGCAGGAATGCGAGAGCATCTCCAAAACTTACATGGACTGAATCCCACCCAGTGGGATTGGACTGAGATCCAAAGTGACATGAGGGCTACTTACGAACTTCAAAGAGAAGATGTGGTCAAAGCAAGAGACTCAGTAGAGATGATGGCTGGAACTGGAACCGGAGCGACTGAAGCAGAAGAAACTGAAGATGATCCAACTCCAAAGGCCCTGGCTCAAGTGAAAAAGCTGTGGCCTTTCCTTTTTTCTCAGTGCTGTCTCCAAGACCACCATCGGAGGTTGACAGGTAGAGACATACGGATTCATCTAGAATCATACAAAGAAAGAAAGTTAAAAAGTGTCTTGCGTTACATGACATCACACTCCACAACTAATACTGCTAACTTGGCACTAAGATTGAGATTGAAAAACTTCACATTGTCTGACTCCAACAAACTTCTCTGCATTTTCTTCATGGTGGCAAACCACTTCAAGGAAAAGAGAGAAGTCCTTTTTAAAACAGTGGAGGTAAGCAGACATTAAAATATGAAAATCTTCTACAGCCCTAAAACTAAAAAACATACAATAAAAAATCTTTTATTTTGCAGAAGACAACTCCTGTGGCAGAAGTAAATCCACCCAAGGACATATGCATTATTGCCCTGAGTAAGTTGCATGAGTTTTCTTACACTGAAGGGGATATACACACCTGAACTCTGAGGTGTGTGAAAATGTCTGTAGTTACTGCAGTATCTAGAATTTTATGTTTGCTTTTGTGAAAACAATTTTCTAATAGCTACAGCTCCTCTTCAAAAGAAATATTTTTAATGTAAGACAAAATTTGCCTAAGTTGGTTTGTCATTCCAAATTTTTACTTAATGAACAATTAATTCAATTACAAGTTGAGTTCCTACGCCAAAAAAAAGAAATCATGAAATTCTAGATGAAACAGTTACTGCACACATCATTACACACATCAAAGTTAGGCGGGTAAATCCCTCAATCTGATTCCTAAAATGTTAAATTAAGATATATTTTTGTTTACACAGACAAAGAACCATTTGAGGCTGAAAGCTATCTAGTCTGTGCAGACCAGACTGTTTTAGTTGAGGCGGATGACTTTTGTCATGCTTTGACATCGTTATTTGAGCTTTCATTCATTTTTGATTTAGAGTATCCATCTACAATGCCTCAAACATTTGAATACTTTGAGAGGTAAGTTACTTGATGTCAATGTAAACCAGCATATTAATCTGAAACACACATTGAAAGAAAACTACTTTATTTTAGGTCTGTATTTCAAATGGCCATTGAAAGTACAAAAGTAAAAGACAAGAAAGGCCAAACAGTTTTAGTTCTGAGGTCCTCTGTCCGAGATTTGGTGAATGGAATAGAAGCATTTGAAACCGAGTTGGCCTCTTTGGACATCGAGAACAACTCTGAGGACTAATTTTCTTGAAAATTCCAATGCAGTGGAATATGATTTTCTTTTTGTTATATGACTGAATTTATAGTTCTATTTTTGTTATGACTGAATTCATAGGTCGGTTTCTTTTTGGTTATGAGTTTTGTTTACATTATACAAAGCTGTTGCTAACATTTTTCAAATGCCCGTTGACATAAATAAAGGACATTACTGATATAAAAAACATTCTCCAAGTTCAAAAACTTGCATGAAACAATCTCCATAAAATCTTCCAATTTAATTTTGTAAATAGGTTTAGACAAACAGTAGGATACTCACACCTTTGAATTCTGGTCACTTTTACTGTCATGGTCAGACAACACAGAGAGCCGCTGGTGAGAGCCTAGTAACAAAGAGAGCAGATCTCATGTTATATCATAGCAGTTCATTGTATTTTCCTCAAAAGTCAAATTTTCCAAGCATGATATTACAGGAAAAATGGACAAGATGAAAGAGAGATCATGATAAAATGACACTATTGAATAACATGAGTGCCAAAGCTACAGTTTGTTCTCGAGGCTGTTTTATAGGCTGAGTTTATAAAACTACCGTTGCCAACAAGTTGAAACAAAGAAACAAGGAACGGCAAAAATTATTCTCTTACCAATTGATTTGTTAGAGGAATGTTTGTTCCCTTAAACTGTCTTCTGATAGTACAAATTTCCGCTTTGGCCAATTTCTTCATTAGCCAAGGTGATAGTGGTGCTGCTCTGAATCGACAATCCATGGTTTTGAAGCATTTAGTTGATTCAATGACAAAAATTGGACTCATCTCATCAGGTTCCCAATAAAATGTGTTGAGTATGGATTCCATATGAAAAATACTTTCCCACTATGATGCCTTCGTGAAGCCTGAAAACCAGAAAACTTGTAACAGCCATAACCCCAATCACAAAATTACTTTATCACCTTAGAACACCGCTAACGGTGGTAATGATAATAAATGGAAGAAAATCAGCGAAAAAAATTTCGGAGACCTCGGGGAAACCTGTTTTGTTTCTTGCCATACATTAACAGAAAGCGTAAGTATAAATAAAGAACAAATGGACACAGTAATGACTGTTTATATTTTGGGCTGGCTGGCTGGCTGGCTGGCTGGCTGCTGACGCGGGACGCGGGGCGGCGGGGCGCGGGGTGCGGCGATCGCAGCGCGCTCTCGTGGTGTTGATGCGAAGTGCTGGCTGATCAAAACAAAAACACGCAGACCGCTTTCGCTACGAAGCAAGAACATGAAGTCAGGGCAGATTGCGTTTAATTTAATAAATCGTTCAATAATACTTTTTTTTGGATAAATGTTATTAAGTGGAACCTTTTATTAATATTTTAAATTGCTTTCGAGACGCATGACCATCAAAATCAAACGTGTCCTCGATTTGGGATAGCAGAAGACATATATTTGGCATCAATAACAACTATGACCTTTCACTCAGTAACAACCATTTATCTTCAAACAGCAAGTTTTTCATTAAGTGTCACATGATATCTTTCCATGGAAATCTTAGGCTAATTGAGGTTTTGTCCTTTTTTTGTTTTTGCATACTTGAACTATTGTTTGGGATACCAGATAAATGAAATAATCCATCATGCTGTCAGGTTATGTTATCGGGTGCCAGGGCTGGTTGACATTCCTAGTCCTCAGCATTTCAAGCCATAGGCGGAGTCTCTTCACTGTGTGTGCACCACAATAAAAATACTCTTTGATAAATTTTTTTTTAATGCGATGACTTACCCCCTATTATTTGTTGTAATGTCAATTGGTTGTCGCCCACCACTACATATCTTAAAGTGTAAAATTTTTATCCTGCACCCATCAAACGGAGCTTTTGTTTAATGACTCAGACGATTGAAAATAACAATACTGCAGTATAAGTAAAGATTAATAGGCCTCTAAAGCTATTAAGTGTGACGAGGAGTTTCTTTCATTGGTAGGGCTAAATTGCATTACTTTATTAGAACTCCATCTAATAGTACGGTTTTGATACGACAAGAAGAGTACGGTCATCTTTTGTACAGTTGTATTGCGACTAATAAGACGACATATTTCAGTACAGAGCTGTACTGTACTGTATCGTACCTTATTTCTGTTTGTTGTTTCGTATTAGGGTACGGAAATTTTTGCAGTGAACGGTGGGCCCCGCGGCAGGCAGCGGCCGACGCCGCGCCGCAGTCCATGCACCACTCCGACGACGGACTGCAAACAGAGCGCTCACTCTTAAAAGACTGCAGAGGAAAGTGCTACGGAGCCGCGGAGAGTATTTCGTAGCTCACTGGAAAGCTTTGCAGTGCGAAACATTATCCGGCTTTGAATTTGGAACTCTATAGCGAACTTTTAGGCAGATGATACCTTCACACATTCAAATTAACGTAATATAAGAATAATACCAGACACTGTAAGGTGTCAGCTAGCTTGTACTCTGAGAACGGGCTAGCACTGGTGAAACAAAGGCATAAATCGTTAATGCCTTTGGGAAGGGCATTAAAATTTTGCTTGAAATTCCTATACCATTTAAGCCCTTCCCAAGGGCATAAAACGATTTATGCCCCTGGAAGGGCGTAAAAGAGTATTTATGCCCTTAAGGGCGTAATTTTTATGCCTTTGTTTTACCAGTGAGTTCGTAAGTTGCAAACAAAAAAGGTTTGCAACTTTGCGAAACATTGATTTGTACAGTTGCAAAGCATTTCCTTTGCAAGTTGCAAAGTAATACTTTCGCAATGCAAAGAAAATCGTTTGAAAGGAGTTTGCAAATCACTGCCGGAGAATAAGGCTTTTTGAGTGCAGGAACTCGTGCACTACGTATTTTCTCTTCAGCGAGGGAGTAAACACTTGCTACGGAGAATCTTGGCAAAAACATTAAAAGAACTTTCCGTACCTTTGTACTACAGTTATTACGCGGTATTACACTGTATTACAGGTATATAAGACGTGTGTTACGGCCTTAGAATACAAAAATTTGGCGCATTTGACCCCAAAACAGTATTACGTTCACGTTTTTGTGCACAGGGTATTACGCGAGTGTTTAGCCCCTCGATGTTGCATCAAATCCTGCAAGATGCCGAAAACGCCCAAAACCACGACACTGGCCTAGCTAATCAACACGCGAGTGTAGACAAATATTCAAAATTGCAATTTTGGCCTATATTTGCTAGTTTCGAATCTAAGCTTCAGAATCTTTCCCCCAATAAATAAATGCCTTCAGAATCCACGAATAATTTTAAAGCTCTGTTCCTCTTAAATACTTCTACTCTTACCCGAGGGGGTTAACACTCGCGTAACACCGTGTACACAAAAACCGTGACGTAATACTATTTCTTGGTCTAATGTGCCAAATTTTGGCATGAACACAGCTCAAAACCGAGTAGTCTGAACACGATTTCTTGCAGTGTTTACCCCCTCGCTCTTACCTTCCAGAAGACGAAGCGGCCTGTGAAGGGTCGTCCTTCTTGGCCTTCTTCTTCGCTCCGCCGGCCGTCGACGTCTGCGTTCGCTTCTTGGGCGGCATTTTGATGCAGGCCAGTCCTCAGAGTACTCGACGGGAAGCGAGGAAACGACTTGCAGAGCTCTGTGCCAAAGAGACGGTCATGTCGAAACAAAAAAAAAGTCCACTAAACTTTTTCCTCATAATACACTCTTATTCCTGGAACGTGACATCACGTTCAAACGAATGTGACAAAGTGTCACGTTCGTTGGAATGTGAATAAGCTAATTTGTGGCTGATTCACATTGAAAGGAATGTGACGTAATGCTCAAACGAACGTGACACTTTGTCACACACTGGTAGCCAACAAATGTGACGTCATATTCGTTGGAGTGTGAATTTAGTCACGTTCGTTTGAATATGATGTCACATTCGTTTGAACGTGGATTAACATTCAAACGAGTGTGACATGTTCAAACAAACGTAACAAAATTCACATTCGAACGAATATGATGTCACATTTGTTGGCTTCCAGTGCATTCGTTTGAACGTAATGTCACGTTCCTGGGATGAGAGTGTTCGGACAAAAAGCGTAGCACTATGACAGTGCAGCGAAGGTACTCTGCTTATCGAATGTGACACAATGCTCAAGGAAACGTGACATTTTTGTCACGTTCCTTTCAACGTGATGTCACGTTCCTGGGATGAGTGTGTTCGTACACTGGGGCAAACCAGGCAAGTACACTCTCATTCCAGGAACGTGACACCGCGTGCAAACGAATGAGACAAAACGTCACGTTCGTTTGAGCATTGTGTCATATTCGTTTCGATGTGAATCAGCCATAAATTAGCTTGTTCACATTCAAACGAGTGGGACACAATGCTCAAAGGAACGTGACATTTAGTCACACTCGTTTGAACGTGATGGCACGTTCCTAAAATTAGTGTGTACAGTAGTCTCCCTCGCTTTATCACTCTCATTCCAGGAGGTTTTCCCAGGAACCTCCTGGAAATCACCTATGTCTTCCCCTTTGGCTTCCTGGGGAAACCGGGTACCGTTATTACCGTGTACCTAATGACTTACGATGGCTTTAGCTTAATTTCAACAATTTTGAGGCGAGATAAGAGCATTAGTTGGATCACAGGTCGTAAGAGCGCAAACCCTTGGAAGGAATGGATATGGACAACAGGTGTGCTAGAAAGGTGTTCGGAGTTATTACTTTCATATTAAATTTTTCTGTCACAGATTTAAAATGTTGTGATCCCTTCGGGCGGCACGAGGAGAAAGGCAAAGTGACCACAAAGTCTTTGAGGCCAATCCAAGCGGCTGATGTTTTGAAACACCCCCAATTCAACTTGACTGAAGGCCAGTTATGGTGTGGCTACTGCCGCTTTGCAGGCCCTCCAAGGAAAGATCCAAATGATGGTAAATAAGACATTTGATCCAGGAAGCGGAAGAAGGGGATAACTCCATTTTGACCACTTTTCAGGAGAAACAAAAAACTGTTAGCAGGGAAAGTTAAAACAAATCAATGGAATGTTATAGATGATAACAAGTTCAAGGAGCGTTAGTTAAGTTATGAGATAGGAGTGTCAGGTCACTGCGTATAGGATTTCTGTGACTCATCACTTTCCGTTAAAATGGAAAACAGAGTCATCGCAACTTATATTTTCTAAACGAATTGGAATTTGGAGACAAGTGGAACTGTAGTAAGGAGAGAGCATTGGTTCCTCTGGTGCATTTTTGGACTTAGCTCTTTTTTCCGTTATGGTTCTTAAAATGAAAGGGGGTTAAGTTGACTTGATTCTTTTTACAGTCAATACATAAAAACACAAGTTGAGTTATCTCATATCAACAATATGTTCATCGGAGTCATGTTGACTTTGGTTGAGTTGTTTTCACTTTCCGCTAAATTCAGAGTGTAAAAAGGGTCAAGTTGAGTTGTATCTTTTTTCAAAGTGGATTTGCGCCTTAACTACTACGAACTAATTTGGTGCAATGATGCAAACCATTCTGAGGCACAATTATATTACAAAAACTCAATTTGGAGATAAGTCGAATTATTCCCTTCTTCCGCTTCCTGGATCATTTCTTTATAGTGCAGCTTTTATACCAAATTTTGTCTAATACATAATTATTTTTTTTAAGTACCCGCTGGTGTAGGACAGAGGAGGCTTATGGTTCGGCCATCAACATCCAGCGCAGGGAGTTTACATCCCAGAGTCGAAAGCTCAACAGAACAAGGTATTGATACTACTTCCATGTCCCCAAAAATTTGAAACTCTTCAGTTATATTCAGCTTTTGTTTCTTTTATCTTTTATAGGTCCATCTTTTGTTGATTTTTGCTATGACCCATATTCCATTTATGGAAATAAAAACTTGAGCAAAGGCCTCAGGAAAGTAACGGCAAAAGATGCTCAGAGAGTAAGCGGGTTATTAATAGGCAAATGGTGGTGTGATTCTTGCCGTAAGCGAGAAGGTTACTCTGTTACTGTTGCATCATCATCAAGTACCGGTAAGTTCCTTATTAATTTTGTTTTTACTGTTACTTTTCTGTCAACTTTTTATTTAAAAAAAGAAGAACATTTCCCACTACCTCAGCTTGTAGTCTCCAAGCTCCAGAAACTCCCTCTGAGTCAACTGAAGGTGTACAGGATTTACCAGAGAAATATTGCTGTGATCCATCTAAGGTGCATAAGAATAACAAAAATGTCACAAAAAAAATGAAGAAAACAACAGAGGAAGATTCAAAGAAACATGAACAACTGAAAGCAGGCCAGTGGTGGTGTGACTATTGTCGCATAAAAATGTCTCAACAGCCATCACATGACCAGGGTAAATTTTATAACATTAACCTTTTCCTTGTGTGTTTGCAAAATTCAAATTCTAATTTATCTATCTCACTCCTCCTAGACTTGGAAATTGCCTCTGCATCATCTGAGTCAACAGAAAGAAGAAACACTGTTACAGCAGATTCTCTTCCCAGTAAGTATGGACGACAGGGACAGGCACGCAGCAGCGATAAGTGGAGACTGATGTGCCAGCAGCGTCGTCGGCTGGGACGCCGGAGAGGAGGGGTGAAACGAGAAGCCGACGAGGGCAGCGTCACCCAGGCGCCGGCCCGAGAGCCCCATGCCGCCGCGGGAGTTTATAGCAAGATACAATTTCACATGGAGTCGTGGCCCTGACGAGAGGCGCAAGAGGACGCATTTCTACGAATGCAGTGCGAGACACGTGATGCGACTGGCGCGTCGTCGTTGTGTGTGTGCGTCAGAGAGAGAGAGAGAGAGAGAGAGAGAAGAATGTGCGTGGGGGAGTACGCACGCGTCAGCGTAGCCGGATCTCTGAATATCTGTTATTGGCAGCGAATCATAGATGGGAATACAGTTAGACTCGTGCTTCTTAACCTTGATGGACGGATGGGAAGAGATTGCCTTCTCTTCGATTGAGGACTCACTGGGCTCCGTCAAGTTCTATTGCCATATTTATATTGCTATACCTATTGCAGTATTGCAGTCTACGGCGGTACCCTGATTCGAGGCTTGGGCGGTCTGGGATGAGGAATTTCTTGTGTTACTTGTGTTATTGTTGTTTGTGTTGTTTGGCTTGGCCGAGGCAGAAGCCGGCTAGAACATTGAAGCCGGTTTCGGAATCCGGAATCCATAAAATCGTGCTGTGTCAAGGGTTGTGATGCTCTTTAGTGATCATGGTCATGGTAAGTAAGCTTTGTTGTTTTCGCAGTTTCGGGAGAAACGGAATGAAGAATTTTATAAATCAGAAAACGAAGGTCAGATATAGGCACTTTCCAGCATGAGAAGCACGCGTTCCACATTCAAGTCAAGTTAGGTTTAAGCGGCGCAGAGCACATGAGCAAGGTCAGGTGCTCTGCCAAGCAAGACTGAATCCACCGGTTGGGGTTTCTTCCCATAAAATTCAAGTTTAAAGAAAGAGTGCACCTTATTTAACTTTGTGTTGATTCCTTGATTCGTTTCAGTTTTGTTCAGGACAAGTGCAGATAGGTGTTAGCCTAAAATTACAATTCAAAAGGAAGTGGTGGGACAAACATCAAAATGACGACGGAAAGAAGAATCTGAAAGCAGGCTGGGCCCAGCAAGTCCTCATGCAAGAAAAAACCCGCTGATTGTCACTGCTTTCTGAGAGTCCTCAGCAACCCGAGTGACCCGAAGGCAAAGCAGTAATCACTAGTCGATCAACCCTGAAAAGGTCCCATGTCTGGCCCGGAACTCCTTACCCCGAGGGGGGAACAGCTTCCCACATTCGTTGTACAAAATTTGACCACATTCCACATTCAGGTGGCAAAAACGCCTGTAAGTAGGCAACATGTGTGGCAAAAACGCCAGAAATCTCGCACATTCTTACACATTCACACAATCAATGTACAAAAAAAATTTACAGTGGGTCACCCCTCGCCTTACCCTGTTCGGGGCCTGAAATATATTTCTGATGGCTCGTAAAGTTCATAGAATGGCACCGTACCAGCCATATCATTCAGAAAGCCATTTCCAGTCACTTTCACTTCAAAATGATGTTTTGGTATCAGGGCAACAGTATTTGGGGTGATGATTGCCAATAAGTGCATATCACAAACAAAAAATAAACGGGACGGGCCAAAAAGAACACAAAAAAGAGCACATAGCACAAAGGATTTGGCACGTGACAGGCTTACTGTGGTTGTTGTTTTTCTTGAAACTTTGGTGTTGGTTTGGTTAAGACTTTAAGAGAAAATAATCAAGATTATCAATTTCTTTTCATTTTTATCAGCTTTCGATTTTTGTTTGCAGGAGCTGGCGAACCGAATCACAGCAATCAGTTTCCTTTCCGAGCTCAGCTGCGAGGAATGGAGAACAGAGAAGCAGCTGCCAGTGACGAAGAACGTTCAAGAGCCAAGGTGGTGAAAAGGAAGCGATTGGCCAAGAAAGTGGGTGATTCCAAGGGTGAACAGGACTTGGAATCCGACAACTTTACAAATGTGCCAACATCAGGATGCCTCAGAACTGTAAATACGAAGCTCGAAAGAAGAAAAAGTTAGATGATAATCCTTGGCTTAATCTGTCGAAGAATGCTATGGCTGTCAGTCAGAAATATGGAGAAGATTCAATACTTATACTGTCTGAAGTGCCA